CTGCCCAGGTGGGTCTCGAACCCACAGGCTCAGGCAGTCCACTCACCTCAGCCTCCCAAAACGTGGGATTACAGGCTGAGCCACCGAGCCCGGCTTAGTTTTTTGATTTATTGTAGAGATGAGGTCTCACCAAGTTGCCCAGGCGGGCCTCGGACCCACGGGCTCAGGCAGTCCACTCCCTCAGCATCCCAAAGATGCGGGCTTACAGGCTGAGCCACCGAGCCGCGCTTCCTAAATCTTTTAGTAAATGGTTACCAATGCTGGGTGGGGTGTGGTATAGTTGCTCTATGGGTTCCTTGACTTTGCCTTGAAAAGAATTTCAGAGTAAATCTAAAGCATAGTTTGAGAAAGAATTTATTAGAAAGAAAAGGGCAAGTTCAAGGAAAGCATGAATGCCTTAAGAGAAGGTCAGGTGTGTGCCTTTGACAGAAGCTTTATATACTTTTACAACGATGATTAAACAAAACATGAGCTAAGAGCAGAGGGCTGCAGGTATCTGGTCATGAATTTTGATTACCATCTTTCAACATTTAAAGTCACAAGGACCTTCTAAATAATGAAAAGTTACTGTCTAACTAGATTTGAGCTTTTTTAAAAAAGAATATCATGTCTGTTAGCCAGGTGTGGTAGCACGCGCCTGTAGTTTCAGCTACTTGGAAGGCTGAGGCGGAAGGATCGCTGGAGCCCAGCAGGTCGAAGCTGTGGTGGCCAGGAGCGTGCCACTGCACTCCAGTCTGGGTGACAGAGTGAGACTCCAACTGAAAAAAAAAGGAAAGAATATCATGTCTGTATTTTGGGTAATTTTCTATTGTTTTTGCGACTTAACTATACTGATAGTCTAACATTCCAACCCACAAGATGGTCAGGTCTTATATACCTGGTTGGTCAAGTGAAGGTCATGTATGGATAAGAAAGATGTCTTGAATTCTTATCTTACCCTCTTTTAATTTAGACCCACCTGCAAGATACTTACCCACATCTAAACTGCACTGGCTAATCTGCCTCATTACCACAGGAAAATGTGCTATGTTTACTTTGTGGCTATGTTAACTTTACTTTGAATGGATTGGTTGATAGACCTAGGAATAGTCCCTGAAACCCTACTGGGAAAAAGGGAAAGGGACTGGAAGGAAAGCAAGAAGAAGGGTCCATGTGAAAACCTCACAATGGCAAATAAAAGTTTTGAAACTGCCAATGTAAGATTAGTATGTGGCCACAGGATAAAAGTCATAGTAGAGACCTGAGCCCTAAAAAGCTACAGGTATGGCTAAAATTTAATAAATCTATTGTTTCTAGGTTTAGTTTCACTCCAACAGAGAGAAGCTAAATGTCTTCATATTCTGACCTTTGGGGAGGGGGAGAAGCCATCCTACAAGGCTGATAAACATGTTCTCTCTTAAACAATAGGCCTAAGACTTCTTGAAGACAAAAGTAGAGATTGAAGGACAAAAGTTGCTCCAATCTCCAGGTATCCCACCTCTCTTATATCTTCTTCCTAAATGAACTCTATCATAGCTCACTGCCCAGGGAGTAGTAGCCAATGGTCATGGGACTTGCTTTATAGCTAGCATCTATTGCAAAACCTAAGAATGTTATTCAGTATATTTTTCACTGATGAACCCAAGACCCCGTCTGGGTCCAGAACACATCCCAGGAAACTGGTACCACTGGTTCTGTGACAACCCCCTCCCAGAATTTGGTTCTACAACAGGAAGACAGTCTCAGCACTCTTCCATGATATTATTAACCTATCAGCAGTCCCTGCCTGCCAAATTCCCTTTAAAACCTTATCCTCTGAGTTTTAGGGGAGGCAGATTTGAGGAAAACCTCTGTTCTCCTCTCTTAGCTGCTTTGCGATATTAAAATCCTTCTCCATTGTAATAGCTGTGTCAGTTTTGGTTTTTCTGGGCACAGGCATAAGAACTGAGTCAGGCTGTAATAGTTTCAGCTGGAAAACCTGGTATTTGTTAGCTTCCCTAGTCATTTCAGTTGCTATAACAAACATTCCAACGGTTAAGTGACTTAAACAATAGAAATTTATTTCTCACAGTTCTGGAGACTGGGAAGTCCAAGATATGGGTGCCTATAGGTCCAGTGTCTGCTAAAGGCCCACTTCCAGGTTTGCAAATGGCTGTTTTTTAATTATGTACTAACATGGCAGAGGGAGAGTGTGAGAGATACTGTTCTTCCTCTTTACATAGGAACATTCATTCTATAATGTAGGCCCCATCATAATTACTTCCCAAAGTTCCCACCTTCTAATATCATCCCATTGGGGGTTAGGGTTTCAGCATATGAATTTGAGTAGAACACAAACATGCAGTCCATAACACTGGGTTAATATTGTGCCTTAGCCTTTATTTCCTTAGCCTCTATACCCATTCTGCTCTATTATTTGCACAACAGAACTTATCATGGGATCAACAGAATTTCAAGAAGAGTTCCATTGTGATGCATCACCCTCTTTGCTGGCAGCATACATATTATGCTCGTTCTGCTAATACTAATTGAGCACTTACTATATACCTAGCTTTGTTTTAAACTCTTTACACTTTCCAAGCACTGTAATCTTCCCAAGAAGCTTATGATGTAATTATTACTATTATCCCTGGTATACAAAAAGAAAGCCAAGGCATAGTGTACCCAAGGCACATTGCTAGTGGGAAACTGGTAGGGAACATTCTAACTTAAGCATTCTAAACACTATAATACAGTGCTTTAATGAATCAACATTTAAACTGTACCACCTTAGAGACAATAAGAAATGTGTAAAATTGGCCAGGCCTGGTGGCTGAAGCCCAGCACTTTGTGAGGCCAAGGCAAGAGGATTGCCTGAGCCTGAGGGTTTGAGACCAGCGTGGGGAACATGGTGAGAGCCTGTTTCTACAATAAATAAAAAAATTAACTGGGCATGGTAGCACACGCCTGTAGTTACAGCTAATTGGAAGGTTAAGGAGGAAGGATAGACAAAACCCAGCAGGTTGTGGCTGTGGTGGCTGTGAGCATGCCACTGCACTCCAGCCTGGGCGATGGAGTAAGACTCCAACTCAAAAAAAAATTGTACAACATCAAAATACATAAAGACTTTGATTAGGTTGGATGCATTATAAACAGAAAGGCTTTAAAGAACACTTTTTATTTGATTATGACACATATACTGAAAAATGCATAAATGATGTTCAGTGAATTTTCATAAAGCGAACACACTGATGTAACCATCACTCACATCAAGAAACAGAAAACAGGGCTGGGGAGGTGACTTACACCTGTGATCCCTGCTTTCTGTGAGACCAAATTGGAAGTATCCCTTGAGACCAGGCGTTCCAGACAAGACTGGGCAATGTAGTGAGACCCTTGTCTCTACAAAAAAATTTTAAAAATTATTTGGAGTGATGGAGCAGGCCTCTAATTTTAGCTGATGCAGGAAGATCTCCTTGAGTCCAGGATACAGTGAGCTATGAGTGCGCCACTGCACTCCAGCCTGGGCGAAGGAATGAAACTGTCTAAAAAAGCAAGAGAAAAAGGAAGGAAGGAGGGAAGGAAGGAAGGAAAGAAGAAGCAAGAAGAAAAACTGAAAATAACCAGATTACCCACCCCTATCCAGAATCTCCTTTTGTGTTGCAAATCTCAAAGTTCAAAATAAGCTTTCACTTATTGTTGTATAAACTGCCTTCTACAGTCTATCTTAAACCCTAATTGAAATACATTTCCATAATAATATACTCTTTCCGGAGCAGTGGTTCTCAAAATGTGGAGCCCAGACAAGTAATCTCCTAATCACTTGGGAAGTTGTTAAGACTTGCAAATTCAAGGACCCCTCTCCCGCAAGCCAGACCGACAGAAAAGAAACTCTGGGAGTGGAACCCCGTAATATGTTTTAAAATCTCCCGGACCGATTCTGATGCTTCTTGAGGTTGGGGAAGCACGGATGTTAGCTGGAATAGTTCTGGTTCGTGATCACGTATTAACTGTTAGATGACTAGGATTTAAAAGGATTACATTTGACTAACAGTGACAAGCTCTGATTACCGTTTTTCGGAAGTACGCTGCAAGCAAAAAGTGCATTTTAAGTGTGTTTTTCCAGTCACGCTTGCATTTTACAAGGAGGAAGACAGATAAAGCAAAACCTCCCGCCAGCCCAAACCTCTCCCTTCACCCAGAACGGAATCGCCCAGTTCACCCACGACCCCGAAGTCCCCAGACTGGCGCGAAATCCCAAATCCCGAGGCAGGCACGGCCATCGGCCAATCAGAAGCCAGGCTCGAGGAGCTCGCCCACCGCGGCGCTGTGATTGGTGGCTTCCCGACGGTGGCCGGGACTCGCTGCGGCCGCGCCCCCACGCCGTCTGACGCAAGCCAGCCGTTGCTGCGCTCCCCGAGAAGGAGAACCCGCGCCAGTGGTGGAACATGGAGGAGGATCCCGCCTTCGCGCCCCTGAGCCCGCGGGGGTGTGCGGATGGCGAAGACGAGCACCCCGTGAAAGGGCCGATGGCAGACGCGCAGACAGACGACGAGGAGCAGTTCGAGTGCCGGGAACTGATCGACTGTCAGGTGCAGTTGGGGGCCCCCGAGGAAGTGGTGGAGGAG